AACTTCGGCGCTAAGTCCACTCCTTTTCAGTTTCGGCCTCTGGCAGCCATGGTGGGATTGGTTGCCAGCGATTTGTAGGATATTGACGGTGAAAACTGAGCCCTCCGCCCCTGGGTTCTGCCATAGTGGATATGGGCATCGAAGAAGCTCCTGGAGTGTTGATTATTAGTGGCCTGGATGGCTGGAGAAGGGACTGTTGTTAAGCAGCACGACCGACATCATGGGCTTATCAGCTGGGCTGTCCTAAAAGCACAACAGTCCAATCTGAATGCACCTCTTCAACATCTCACCGGAGCTACTCCTCAGGGACGACGAATCCACGATTATCTGCATCCAGCTGGGATGTTATACATGCAAAAAAAACCCACAATAATAAAACAAGAATCATGGACATTAATTATGAATTATATAGATGTGATTAAGAAATAATACAAAGAAGATAGGAGAAACAAATAAAAACACTAGTTAATAATTATCATCGCTTATTATCTAATTGAGGAAGGTTATTTTGTGGACCTTCTAGGGGGGTGGATGTGGGGTGGGTGGGTGTGGGGGGACCATGCCCCTCCCTCCGCCATTGATGCTATCTTAGATGATCGATCTACTCCTGCTTAGAGACAGGGGGCAGGCCCTTCTGGCCTCCTCTCTCTCCACCAATGATGCTATCTTAGAGATCAGATGTCAGCTGGTTAGTAAAAGTTCACTTAGTTCTGCTTGCTTATATTAGAGCAACACCTTGCTTAATTAAAGCTAGCTAGCGCGCTGTATGATTAGGCTGGGTGGTTTTTAGTTTCCACATTGCACTACTTAGGCTGGGTCGAAGCAAAAGGCTGCAAGAAACGAAGGACGAGTGGCCATACAAGTATCTGCACCACTACACCACAGTACAGGCGTGATTGGTTGCCCTGCTCGGGCCTCCGAAGGCCCATCCAGCATCGCGCGATGCACTTCGGTCTTTGTTCTGTTCCTGCCTAGCACCATTTGCCTGCTTCGTTCCATTCCTTTCTCCTCCTCATCCCGCACGCCTCGTCTTCTCGATTTCTCCTTCCCAAACGAGCCGAGATGGCTTGATGCATGCATGGTGCACAGGCCCATGTGTTAGACACAAAAAAACTCTGATGCATGTATGCAACCAAACACGATGACTATCATCCAGTATCCCAGACTAAGTTGCAACCAAACAGAGCAAAGTGCACGGTTTGAGCCTGCTTCCCATGAGTCTAGACCGGCCCTCCATTCCGGCTCGCCATCCCGGAGCAACGAATCACGCCCTACAGTGAGAGCCTTCCTCTCGCCGAATCTTTGGAACCCGTAGCTAGCCAGTATGTAGGTGAGGCAGTTTCAGTAGTCGTAAGGCACCATCTCAGGGATGCACTATGCTAGCCCGAAGCTTGTTGTGACTCTGCTTCGAGATGTCCCCTTGCAACGATAGCAACCCAGTGGCAAACTTGTTGGACTAGATATCTTTTATGTTAATCCTTTTTAAAAGAAATTTTAAAACCAATTCCAACTTTGAAGATATCAATGACTTGAGGCATGTAGAGTTTGGCATCTCAACTTGCATCCATTCCACTTAGAAGCCGCCAACAAATATCGGATCTTATCCGTCCAAGGAAGGCAATCTCTTCACACTTTTTCAGTCCTTCTAAACGGGCACGAAGTGATTGACATTCTTGGCAACACAAGAAGCGAAAACACGCATATTCTTCCAAAATTTCAAGAGGCACCTGTTAATCTACCGATAAAAATTCTCATTATTAGTATCTTATACCCTCAAGAATAGGAACTCTCTATTTGGACCACTCTTTCGTGTAAAGTCCGTTTCGGGGGAACAATAGGTCCACTGGTAGTAAAAGGTTCTGTGCAACAACATATTCTTCATCATTCTTCTTCAAACAGAAATCTATATGTCTCGCCGCAGTCGTCGCTGCTGCTCAAGGGGCTGGTGGCGTGCACGGGCAACCAGTTCAGTTCTGCGGGCAGGCCATCATCGAGATCTGACCAAGGCGCGGGCGCTGCAGGTGACGCAGCAGGAGGTGGAGAAGGGCGTGTCCGTGCCGCGGCCGGTGCGCATATGCGGCCAACAGCTGCGGCCAGGTGCAGCTGGCGGACATCGGCTTCATGGGCTGTCTCACCAAGGACAGCGACGGCAAGATCGTCGAGGCCGCGGACATCTTCGTGGGCGCGCGGCCGCGTCGGCAGCGACTCGCACCTGGCGGACGTCTACAAGAAGTCCGTGCCGTGCAAGGACCTGGTGCATGCCCATCGTGGCCGACCTCCTGGTGGAGCGGTTGTCCTGGTGATCATCGACCTTCCTTGCTCAGTGATGAGATGCTGTTTGTCGTAAAGTAGACGCTGCCCTGTCAAAAAAAATGTCCCCATATTCAAGTTACTGTTGTAGCCAAAAACAGTCCTCTTATTCACGTTACAGAGAATGCCCATTATTTTTGCTACGTATCTAAAAATAGTGTTTATCTAAGTACATAGCAAATGCTATGTATCTAAAAAAAAAAGTCAAAACATCTCATAATTTGGAACGAATGAATTAGAAACTAGTTGTATGATTGGCTTTGGCAAGTTGACTTACAGTGGGTGGCATTGCGGCAGGAGCCGCCCTTCTGTGATCGTCGAACGGTGCTACGAGAAACTGAAACGAACGCCCACAGAACTTGACGCATAGAGGCTTTTCAAGTTCTACATGGGCTTCGTAGCGGACCAAGTATGCACGGATACTATTGATATCATATTTGTTTTTATATTTTTTTTTCTCAGGTCGGATTCGGACACGGATAGCTATAAGATACAATTACGGATACGGATACGAGTAAATATATATCGAATATGGGATGAGTCGGACGATTGGTTACAAATATTTCTCCTGATATATTGAGTAAAAGCGACATCTATATATACAACATGTGCTACAGTCATTTGACCACTCTAAGAGTCCTAATTATAACTAGATTATACATGTACAAGCAAATTATCAATAGTTTATATACAAGTCGCATTGACATGTTTTTGGAAAGTTGAGTTACATTTTCATAGCTTATATAGCTTATGCATACCTAAGCCGATATATTTTGAGTACATACAAAAGTCATACCAAAAAAATAATTAAAAAAAACGTGCTGGCAAATACAAAATAATTAAACTTGGCCAAGCACAAGCAGGCAACGCACACTGGGCTGTTGTGTGCTTCATGGGCTTCAACCTTGGGCCAACACATCCTGTTACTTGTGTTGGGGCTGTGCGAATGCGAGCAGTCATGACACAGGACTAAGCAGCGTGTGCGAGTATGCTAGTTTAGTCCCACCTGATCGACCACCTCGATGCCCCATCAAGAAAGAAGGGAGCAAGTTTCCTATACGAGACTATGACGCCACAACACCAGTGAAGGGGTGAGCCACACAGTCCACAGGGCGCAGCCAAACTGCTGGGCTACGGTGAGGTTCAAGGGATGGATAGTGTTATTCAGTGTTATCCTAAACATCAAACGGTAAACCGTCATTCACCTTCCATTTAGCGTTTAGGCAGTTTACATGGCATTTAAATGGAGTTAAATGGTCTAAACGGTTTTACACTATTATTATATTAAGACATTTAAAAAGTAGGATTTCAATTCAGTATAAATTTAAAAAGTAAAGTATTTGAATTCGTATCTGATATCCGTGAAATCGTCCGGACATCCGATAAAACGTTCATGTCAGTATTTCAGTGCCTTCGAACGGACGGACAGTCGGATTTTTATCCGACCGTTTGCATCTCTACCTGGACGCACTCCAAGTAAAAGCAATGCTTCGACCTTCATCGGTCGTACATTCTTCGTGTTCTTCCTTCTTACTTGGTAGAAACACCAGATGTCAGGTCGTCGCTAGGTGGTTGGGGGGGTGTCAATCTCGCCGCCGGGAAGGTCTGGCGGCCGCCAGGCCTCACGCTAGATTGGTGGATCCACCCCTATCCATCACTGCATTGTCATGCGGACGTCACGTACTTCAGGTTGCCATTGGTTCAGCTCGTACTTGCAGGGACAGGATGGGCACGCACTGAGAGAAGCCAGTGGTGCAAGTTCAGCTGCTACTCATGGTCGCCGAGTTTGAGTAGAGTAAACAGCTTAGCAGAGCAAGGGATGCATGGGCGCCCCGAGAGCTGCAGTTATCTCTGATGAAGCAGATACTGCAGGAGCGAACTTTAGAATACGGGCGGGTTATGTACTTTAGTTGGTTACGCTAGATGTTAACTGTTGACTTGACACTTATCTTACTTTAGTATTAATTGTAAAGACTAAAGAATGCAAATGTGATGAAGTACGTTTCCTTTCGTAGCGTGTACCTCAATGACTTGATCTTACGGGTTAGTGTAGCTCGTGGTTGGCTTTAGGATCTTCTTGCGACCGCCGAGTTGGTGCCGTGTTGATCGAAAGGACGATGCGTGGTACCAGCTGGACGGTCGAGGTGGTATCCTCGCAGTTATATTATCGTAGCATTATTTTTTCTATTATATTACAATACATGTTTATTTACTTGTGTAGAAAAGAGATGCAAAGTTACGGTACATATAGAAAGTATAACAAATTCCCTTGTATGTGAAATGTCTTGCAATGGGATTAACACAGCATGCAATTAAATGTTTCGCTATGAAGCCCTGGATAGTTGAGTACAAAATGTTTCGATATATATAAGCTTCAAATTTATTATACATAGAAGTAAAAAAAAAAAAAACAATCTAGCTAGCTACGAGAGTGCAAACTCGATCAGCTCAAAGGATGCAACGGGCCAATTGAGCCACCGCATGATTGGGCTTGTTGGACCGCTGCATGATGACAATGGACACATCGTTGGGAAACAGGCCCTTGCGCACGAAGGCGTGGTACATGGTTGCCACCAGCACACCGGTGACCGTGACGGACGCGATCCCGGCGAGCCCGATCGCCAGCGCCCGGCTGACCAAGGTGTTCACCGACGACGCATACATGGTGGTCGCGATGGCCGCCACGCTCGTCATCGGGAACGTGTAGGCCCACCACGCCAGCGAGAACCTGACTCTGAAGAATAAGTTGATACGGACACCACCAGCGACATGAAGAGGAAGAGGGAGATGAAGTAGGGGATCTTGGCGCCAAAGCCGAACTCGCCGCAGAGCCTGGCCCATGCCATGGAGGCGACGCTGGGGACGGCGACGAAGAGGAAGAACACCGGGTGGAGCTCCTTGGGGAGCCGCACGTCGTTGGTGTCGAGCCACTGGTACAGCGTCACGAACAGCACGGCGTAGTGCGCCAGCCCGACGGCGAAGAAGAAGAGGGGCGCCTCGTGGAGTCCTACCAGGGCTCCCAGCAGGGCGCCGACGAAGTTGCCGACGATGGCCAGGTGGCTCGTCGGGTTCGCCACCTTGGACAGCCGGAGCCCCCCGCCGGACATCCACTGGCCGTAGATCTTGAGGTCGAGCAGCAAGATCGGGGTCATGAACACGTACCAGTCGGCGCTGGGGACCTCGTTCTCGTTGTCGCCGTCGCCGTCGCCGGTCGCCTCCTCCTCCTCGGAGATCTTCGAGTCTGCGACGTCCTCGATCTCTGCCAGATGAGGGTGAAAGGTGGAGAGCTGGCGCTCGACGCGGCTGCCGCTGGAGAAGGTCTTCAAGTGATCGAACCGGCGGTCCCGCCACGGCTCCTCGGTGCTGATCGTCAGCGTCGGGTGCCCCGTCTGATTGAGCAGCTGCGGCGCCTCCGCGGAGGCCCCGTGGTGGTGCGCGTCGAGACTGACCTCTGTCGCCATGCGCACGATGGACGCGCACGCGCCGAGGTGAAGCCCAGACGGCGACGACGGCACGCCGCTACATGCAATGGAGTACGGAATGTCGGTCTCTTGCACGTGAGCTTGATCGCCGAGCGCCGCCGCCTGCGCACTCACCGTCACCGCCACGTCCGCCTCCTTCCTGGCCACGGGAGAAGCGCCGACCATTCCCGCCATCCGGATGCTCTTGCTTTTGGCAATGGCGGCTCAGAATCGCTTGCGTGCCTGCTACAATGTGTAGCTCAGCTCGCTAGTGAGTAGTGGATGCGCCGCAGTGCCAAAGCGTCAAGATTACAGGGGAGAACTGGAGAAGTTGTAGTTCTACTTGGTTAGAGGGGGTTTCTACTTCTACTTGATGCAGCCATGTGCATATCTGGAAAATCTCTATCTCTAGTTCTCTATCTACAACTAAATATCTATCTCTTCTCTTCTATCTACATCTACATCTCTTCTTTTCTCTATTGTAACACTTCTAGATGCTACGAGGTCAACTTTAGTACTGGAATTGTAACCGGATACAAGGACGGCGGTAATGGTGGTCGCCGGAGTTCCCGAGCCGCACGTCGCCGCCTAAAAAACCGACGCCAACCAAGACAACATCTATCTCCATCAATGTACAACTAAAAAGCCGCAAATGTTAAATGTCTATAGGATTGGGAAGAAACTAAATAAAAAGAGAAAAAGGCTTTCGTCTGCTCGGAGCATATATTTATAGTGTCATGCCATTATATTGTAGGCATACAAGCATAAAAAGGAGTAAAATTGATGGACGATCCTTGAACTTAATGATAGTGTCATTTAGGTCTCCAAACTCTCGGTTTGTATTTTTGGCTCCATGAACTTGGTTTGGCTATCATTCAGATCCAAAACGGGCGCAAAACCCTATATAATAGGTGATGTGGCAATGCCACATCGTGTCCTCACCGGTGAACATGGCGGTGACGATCGTTCTCATTCCTAACCACCCGCGCACCCCTACGGTGCCTTTCTTCTCTTCCTTTGAGGTGCCAGTAGAGAGGCTACAAACTCCTTTTGTTGTCTGGGCTTCCACTGAAGGTTAGAGTTTTTTTTAAACCACTGAGATCGCCTTTTGGATGCACTCCAATTGAGGTTTGAGATGCTATTGTTGGCATATTACAAGTGGTGGGGTTGGTTTCACAATCATAGCAAGGTGAAGTTAGCATGTGGAGTATTATTTATATTATGATAATTTATTTAAACTAGTAAACAAGCACGTGCGACACACACGTGGGTGTCAAAAGAAAACTCATTTATAAAGGAGGAATTCTAATTGGCATTAAAATTCTAGCTTTTTTGAATTGAAAATTCAACTACTCAGTTACCGGTGCCAAATTAGAAACCACACCCATCTATACAAATGAGAATACTTTGAAATAATAGGACAATACCCTGATTTAGAATAAACTATCAAGCTGCTATACAGTAGGCTACATTACAAACTCCTGATGCATGAAGTACATAAACATTTATGAGTTATGAGCAAATATCCCCATCTCTCACATCAAACCACTTGCAGAGCTTGTGATTGAAGTATGTATTTTTTGACTGAATTGTGATTGAAGTATGTTGACACTTGACGGTGCAACTTGCCTTACCCTCCTACCATCATCAGAGCCTGTCTTCCTTGTGTAATGGGATGCTTAGTATAATCTCACCATCTTCGCATTGCCCTCCTACTACTTCTCCTCACATCCTCATACCACACTTCAAATATCTTTCTAAAATATGGACAAAAATAAAGATTATCACCCCATAAAAATAATCAAATATATCAAAAGAAACCTTACTAAAATTTTGATTTATTCAAAGAAACCTTAGATACTGTAGAAGCTTGGATGTTACCAAAATGGCTTGTAGTTGAAGCTGTTTTTAATTTTGGGATCAGGGTTTGCTCACTAAAGTTACCTTTTTAGCCCGTTGTAGAAAAAAGAACTATGGCCCTGTTCGGATGGTATGGTTCTGGAGGAATTTGGATGGTTTGGAGGAATTCTGGAGGAATTTGTGAGAGAAAAACACTGTTCCGGATGAAAAAAGAAGCGGATCAAGCCGGGTTCAATGGCACGCGAACAGGGCCTATAATTTGTAGGATAGTAAATAGAATCGAACGATATCATATCCAGCTGTTGTCACAAAAATATGGCGATGTGATCAACACACAGCAAGCCGAAAGATCTGAGTGGAACGAGATCAGAGATCTGCTTGACTTCAACACAAAATTAGCCGATTCTGAAAACCCAACAACGTGCCAGTCAATTTGACCTGCAATTGACAAGGAGAGAAAATCTTATCAGTAATTTAAGATAGAACATGTCGGTGTTGCACCAAACAGTTCCAAATATACGGCTAGATAGCCGATTCAATGAGGCTATCGACTAAATAGTCTATATGCAGCGTATCCATGAAATGAAGATCTTTAAATCAAGGATTATCGGCTAATATTAAACGATAATGATATGAATCAAAATAACCGATGTTCATGCAACATCAGAAAGCATCATCGGCTAAATGGAACATGATCGATATAAAGCGTCGAGCCGATAAGTCTGATGAAAAGAGTATAACATGCAAACAAATCGACTGTCTAATATAAATGAATCCACAAACAGTTTTGAGTCTAATATATTATCATCAACAGTGAGATTCGATCGGATCGATACAGCTATGATAATGATAATAAACTAAAGTCAAAGAATCTATAAAACCATCTATATGTTGACAGATTCATGAAAACATGTTATATGTGTGAGTATAGGCAAATCGGCTAAAATAGCCGATGCAGTCATAGCAAACAAACAGAGTACATATCTTGATCATGAACAAGACCACTAATCGATAACTTCTAATCTAAAGTCTTACTAGTGAGGTTTGACCGGATCGATGCAACTATGGTAGTGTTATTAGATTAGATCTCATTAACTAGCGAGTTTATTCAAGATTGAAACATGTCTTTGATACATACTATGTTTGACTAGAATAGAGATAAAACAGCTGATCTAGCGGAATTAAGCTATCAATTATAAGATTTGAAGCGTAACCGGATCAAAGGACGACCAATTAAGATGATATGATGCCGATCTATCTCTATCTCAATCGGGTGATTTTGTTATAATTAACAAAACATTAATTATAGCAAGATCGATAATTGGTAAATCAACCGAAAACAGAAAGGAAAATCTTACTGATCTTAGCAGATTCGATAACTAGTGATATTGTATTAAACAACAAGTTATTTAACACAAGATCGAAAACTTTGATCTATATTATGATTCATAAGAGATCAATCAACTGATGCAGCCTTACAAACTACGATACAGATCAATAACTAACCTATATTATGGCTTATAAAAGATCAATCAGCTGATGCAAAGCATAATACAAGTCGTGATGGTACTCACAAGCATGCCGGAGGTCAATCAGTCAATGCAGCCCTGTTTGCTGAAGAACTCGTCGAGATCTACAATACTCCTACTCCTAATGCGATGGCGAAAGCCGAAAAGATTGTATTGATTGAGTGTTCATTTTTTTTCTTTACAGTAACCAGGGTCTCATATTTATATCCGGAACCTAAACATGAATCCTACTCAAATACGACTCATTACAATTCTTAGAATAAAAGAAAACTTTCTAACTTAATAATAACCTGGATCCCAATTTTTCATATTTGTAGATTCCGACATATCTTTCTGGCGCCACTCAAACATAGCCCATTAACGCCGTCTGCTGACGTCATCCATAAAATAGTCGATTCTGATATCACATCTAAATCGGCTGATATTGATTCACATCTAATCGAATCCTTGATGATACAATCCTGTAAGCTTCGAGTTTCCACGTTCCTCTTCCCAAATTTTGGTGTAAACACATGTCTCTAATTTTGGGATAAAAATGATTTTATTCCAAAATTCCTATTCATCTGTTCACTGCGTTGCAACCGCTCATTCCAAAATAAACGCATGGCTCCTGATCTCTCGGGCCAAATTCTATATAATACCCCAACAGTATCATTTCCAGCTTGCTCGGCCTGCTTACTTTCCTCTTCTTTCTCGAGCAAATTTCAACAGTCAAAGCCGCCACCGCCAAAGCCTTAACCCTAGCAAATCCCCTGTTCTACCAAACTGCCATTCAAGTAACCTTCTTCAGATTTAGATCCATTTTGGCTATAATGGCAACCAGCGACCACGTTCCTGAGGTATGCCTTCAAACTTTCGCCTTTCAAGTGTTAGACGCTACTCTGTATTTTCCTTTTTCTTAAATTCATCCCAACTGATTTCTAGGAAATGAGGAACGAAATTCTGATTTCATCAGCTGTTGTTCTTAAAGCCTATTACCTTGGACCTATGGGTGACCCTGATCCATCTGATTTCATCAATCAAGAAACCAACCGAATCCCCTTCAAATAATCTATAGTAGATTTATCTTCTTGGAACACCAAAACTTCCTTTAGAAACTGGCCCAAAATGTCTAAGGGATGGAGGGATTGGTTCCATAGGGTATCAGAGAAAAATGCTGAAGATTGAAAAATTTATGACTTAAATCAATGCCTGACACTCTCACTGTCTGGAATAGAGAGGAATGACTCAATTCTGATTTATGCATCTTACTTTTGGTCCAATATTTTGAATGCTTTTGTTTTTTGTCATGGTCCAATGACCATCACTTTGGCCGATATTTACATGTTGACCGGCCTTACAATAACAGGATCAATGCAACCCAATGGTTTCTTAAGTGTTGGGTCCAAGAAATTAGCCAAAATATCATACTACATAGGATGAGCAAGCTATATTCTGAATCATATTGGGGATAGATCGATTGTTGATGAAAGAGAGCATGTAGCTTTCTTGAACATGCGGCTGGAAAAATTCATCTTTTATGGGTCATCTTGCGGACCAACTTATAATCATAAATACATGATAGAATGTCTAGCTGCTGGCAATAAAACCCCCCTCGAAAAATATCTGCTAGGGTCTGCTTATCACTTGATGCACCAAGTATCTGTTTAATTACTAAAAAATGAATCAGTGCATACCATCAGTGGCCTTTGGTGGTTAATACAATTGTGGCTGAATCTGTACATGCATAAGATTGTAAGACCCAATCTTAGGAATATGAGCTTCCCTTCTTCTAACTTTGCTGAAGATTATAAAGGAAAAGAAGAA